TATTAGCCTCTGTCTACGTTGGATCTTTGCTTGTGCCAGTGATACGTTAGTCCGTGGATCATCACGGATCAGATCTGGTTTACAGAGTGATTATTAAAAGCTCTTACTTCACAAAGAAAGTAATCGTAAAAGTGATAATCTCGACCAAGCGAGATTATGACTCTTCTCGAGATCAAAACAAAGTTTGATCCGGAGAAAAAGGGGAACAAGCTTCAGATCCTTCGAAAAGCTTCCTTTTTATGCTGAAGTTTGCCAAGATCTGCTAGCCCTCCTTTGAAATTCGTGCTCCACTCTTTAGTTTGACAGCACCTCGCCTTCTGATTTTAAGTCCTCTTAAATGAAGGTCCTAGGCTTGTATTTATAGACTTCCGTTGTAGTGTTTTCGAATAAGAACTGATGATTTGATGTTATCCGTAGTTAACAACTGTTTAACCATATTCAGGGATGATATCAAAGCAGTTGGGAGGCTCTGGAACAGAAGAATCCCATGAAATCCCGTCAAAAAACGTGTTTTGGGCTTTTTTGGGCGCGAGCCACCCATGCGNTGTCTCGACTTTTGGGCTCTAACCCTCGTCTCCGGGATCCTGCGGAATGCCAGGACCGCTGAGATCGCATGGCGTGGATTCGTATACGAATGGCGGTTAGCAACAGTTACGAAGATTACAATCCTATGGCGAAAACACTCCATGGAGGGTGGGCCGAAACACACCCGCCTCAATGATAATTCCAACCTTTAGAGGCAGAAACTTCTGCTGAACATCTCAGAGCGCTGTCGCACGCGTCCGGCGGTCCACCTCGAGCAAACTCCTGTGGAGTTGTTCCTTTATTCGTCTTAGGTTTCATAGACTCGATGTGTGCTGTTTCTTGCTCGTACAATATCAGAGTAATCGTTCTGGTTGACCGACGGCGTGATGGTTAATAATGATTCATCCGTCTTTTTTTTTATCTTGAGCTGTGTGTGAGAACTTATGAGGTTAATTTTTATGCTACGTCCAGGTATAACGTTGTGTTTGACAACCGTTTTCTTCTAATAGGTAATTTGCCGGTTGGCGTCTTGACTAGGAGTGCCCATTTTGTCGGACCACACCCTCGTGGTGCGATCGCTTAACGAGCTCCTGATCTTTATAGCACCCCGTCTTAGACGGCGTCATGAATTCTTATGCAGGCCACAGCAAATGTGTAAATGAGGTGTCTTTGGAGTTTTGAGAGGTGGTGCGCACTTTGAGCAGTAGATGTTTGACAGTGAGGACGCTGTACGATCCCCACTCTCCGAAATAGCTCGGGTTGTTGTTCCATCGAGCTTTGCCCGTTTCGTATGAAGGACCAAGGCAGTCTACCATTTTAATCTTGAATTGTTTTGGATAGGTTCTGAGGTCAACAGTCGTGGCGACTTCACCAAAGGTACAGGAGTTAGTCGCGAACAGGACGGATGCTTCGAAAACTCCAGAAATGGGCCACGGGAGGCGAGCGGCAGTGTCGGGCCGGTGAAGCTGGCTGACCATGGGCGCGGCCACCATTTGGTGGCTCGGGTTGGACGACCCACTAATGTGGCCTGGGCTCGACGGCGGACGTTTGGCTGAGCCACTAATAGCTGCTTGGCCCTGTCTGAGCACGGTTTTGGCTGGTTGATGAGTTCGGGTGTCTCAGTGCACTTGTCCGAATCCGCCTATTTTTGATTTTTGGCCTCCTTCTCGACGTTGATTTTTGGTGATTTCTTAGCCAAATTGTCTCCTTGCGTGTCTTGCGCCTTTCGTGCTGAAGACTCGAGCCCAGACCAGTGAAGCCATCATTCAGGGTGCGCGTTTATGCTTCTGGAATGTGCTCTTTGAAGGAGTGACGAGTCCTGTCTTTTTAATACGGAACCCAGTTCGCTTTGGGTCCGAAATTCGGCTGCAAAGGATGGAGAGCATTGCTTTTTTCTTGAAGAGCGACTCCTTGGCCTCCCTAAACTTTTAGTGCCGGGCATATAAACGGAAATCCGTTCAATTGCAGGCTCTTTTAAACGTCTTTGGCAATGCTAGCTCATGCGAAGTCGTTTAATTAAACTGGGTCGTCTCAACTGACCTCTGACCGAGCTCCCTACATCATTTAAATTCACAGAAAATTTGCAGGTGGCCTTTAGATTCATTAAACAGAACCTTGCTGGTTGTGATTCTGAAAATCTAGTTTCATTGGATAGACTTGGAAAAAAGGAGCCGCTTAAGCGAATTTGCTGAGGGCGAAATGCGCGTCAGACACAAGATAGTTTTAGCAAGGAGTTCGTTCAAAATCCCGATCTTAAGAATGAGTCTCCGATTCTTCGTCTACACTTAAAATCCCATAACAAAATAATATAAACATCCGCCGCTACTTAAATATTGTGTTATCAATTAAAAACAGAAATTTACTCTTTTAAAACTTATTTTTTCAAGATCAGGGGACGATGGAAGATCTTGAAGAGATAGAATGGCGGGAGAGTATTTTATCTAACTTTGGTGTTAACTGGTTACTTGAACTTGTACTCGCTACATGCATTCCCAGGAATCTTTATTCGTTTGGTTTGGGTGTAGACACTCGACAGCTGCTGCTCTTGGCATGAAAAATCGTTAGAGCTGATTAGCATCTCCTGCTGGTTGCAGTTTGTTTGCATCAAAAAATCATTTTTTTTCATTTATCCATTGTATACCTGTTAGCAAACCGTTAGATTCGTATTTACAAGTTCCAAGAAATAGCAATAAATGTCAGTGTGATCTTTTGTATAAGATATTTTTCTGGAACGACAATAGGAAAATCTAATTTAGTTAACATAGCTTTTAATCAAATCTATCACAGAAAACAATAATTTTATAACTTACGGACCTTTGTCTACTTGAGGATTGGTGTTGCTCGTGTCGCCCAAGTGAATACGTTTAAGATCTGTGCGATCAGGTCACGGATCGATCTGGTTTACAGGAGTGTATTATTAAAAGCTCTACTTCACAAAGAAGTAATGTACAAAGTGTTTAATCTCGACCAATGCGAGAATAATATAGATAATATCTCGAGAATCAAAACAAAGTTATGATCTCAAGAGAACATACACGCGGAAAGTAAACAAAGACATTCCAGATCTTCGAAAAGTTCATGAAACAGTTTAACTTTTTAATGCTGAAGGTTTGCCAAGATCTAGAATAGCCCCCTTTAAATTCTGTGCTACACGTGCTTTACGTTGACAGCACCTCGCTTTCTGATTTTAGTCCTCTTACAATGAAGAGTCTAGGCTATAGTATTTATAGACTTTCCGTAATGTAGTGTTTTCGATAAGAACTGATGATTTGATGATTATCCGTAGGTTAGCAACGTTGAACGATATTCAGGGATGATATCAAAGCATGTTGGGAGTGCTCGCCCTGCGACAGAGAATCCCGATGACAATCCCGATACAAAACGTCGTTTTGGGCTTTTTGGCGGCATGTTTACTCGCCTTCTGATCACCGATGCGGCCACTTTTGTGAGTGAGCTTGGCCATTACCGCAAAAGCCCGCACCATGGTGGCTCGGTCTTGGGCCAAGACCGAGCGCACTAGCGCCACCATTGGTGGCTCGGTCTTGTGGCCAAGACCGACGCCTAGCTTTGGCGAAGTCGTTTTGACCCGACTCGATCGCCAGGGGCTTTTCCGGTTCATTCGGGTTAGACTTGTTTCGTCGTTACGTGCATTTCGTTGTTTCGTTGACTTATCCGCTTCACCGATTCGCTTTATGCGTTTTGTTAAATTAGAGGCGGCTGACGAGTACGCGGGTCACTTGGAGATGGCTGACGAGTGCATGGGCCATTTGGAGGTGGCTGATGAATGTGCGGGCCATTGGAGGTAGCTAGTGAGCGCACAGGCTACTTGGTTTGCCATTCTGATAGCTTGTTGCTACGTCATCAACGGTTCGCCGATTCGCTTCATGCGCTTGCCGGCATCAGATAACCCTTGTTGATTCAGATAATGACGTTTTTCGTCTTCTCTTCGTCTCGAACTGCATGCGGGAACCTATAAGCAATTTTTAACGCCTACACTAATAACCCCACATGCTCTGTTGTTAACCTTGTTCCAAATCTTCTCCTCCATATCAACGAGTTTCTCTTGTAATTCAAGAGTCTTCTCTAAATTTTGGGCATCCAACGCATCTATCACCTGACACCTCCACAAACCGAAGTTTATCTTACCATCAAACTTCTGAACATTAATTTTAATGTTATTGATGCTCAAACCTTGTATCGCCTTCAAAGAGACAATCCCGATGTACTTGCTTCACCCATGTTGATAACCTGATCTCTTCAAACGAGAATCCTGCAGAGAATCCTCCAAACAAGCCCCAAGCCAAACCCGAAGGTCTGATACCAATTGTTGTGCGTAGCGGAATCCGAAAAGAACACAACCAAACTGAGATAGAATCACAACCAATAGGTAAAACAAGAACCAAACAATGCAAGACACAAATTATACATGGTTCGGCAAGTTGCCTACGTCCATAAGGCAAGGAGAGGATGGATTTTACTATTAGAGAGAGAGAGAGAGTACAAATAGAGATTATAAATTCACTCAAAACTCACAAATTAATCTCTCAAACAAATCTCTCAAATTTCTCATCAAATCTCCCAATCACGCGGCTCAAAAGTATCTCTTCTGTGTTTTTTAGAGAGAGAAATCTTAAACAAATCGTGTTTGTATTTATATCAAACATCAATCCCAAACAGATCAGGAAACCAAGCACAGGCCCATACCCGAGTCGCGGTCGACCGCCATTGACCTCGCGGTCGACTGACCAGAGGGCTGAAAACTCAGCCTGACAATTACAATGTTTGCAGGCCTAGCCTCGCGCTTGACCGACTAGAGATCCAAAAATGCACCCTGTAATGTGTACGTTTCCGGTCGACCGGGCCAAACCCCGCGGTCGACCAGACATCATCCAAGTGCATGTCTGCTTCGTTCTTCATGAACTTCGTCGCCGTCGTTGCCGTTTCTACACATGCTCCACTCTTGCAAAAACTATTCTGAAATGCCATCGCATTTTTTTGTTATGTACGCATCGCGTACCCCGAAGTACTAGTGAGTATTTGTAAAAAGATGTTGAACAAATGTGAAAGGAAATTAAAGAAGCCTTTCTTGCTGCCTCTAAATTATCGAGAAAAAGTGGAACTAATAATAATGAAATTAATGGAGAAACAAAAAAGAATTTGGAACAATTAGGCTTAGCTTTGGGCTATGAATTTGGGCCGGCCTCAGTTGCCGAGAACATCATCACGCGCAGAACACGTGCCAAGAACTTGGGCGTAGCAGAGCGGCGAAGCGAGAGCGAAAGCAGCGAGAATGGCGATCGGAGGCGGAAGCAATGACGTAAATCAGACGGAGGACTGCACAGTTGCCAAGTAAGAACCTTCTCCACTCTTCACATAAATATTCAATTTTTAATTCCAATTTAGGGTTTGGGGGTTTTGATCTCTTGAGTTCTAAATAATAAGTTGATTATGTAAAGGAGAGTCCTTACGTATTTTGTTGAGAGAGAGGGAAAGAAAAGGGACTAAATTTCTAGTAGATCAGCAGTCTTGATGGTTGCCGTCTACTCAAATCTTTCATATTGCAAAAGTTCATTAAGCCAGAGAATTAGGTGAAATATAAAGAAATTTCTATTAGCGAGAAAATATATCATCCAAAAATTGGATTTGAATGGCTTACTATAGTTTGGCGTAATCCTTAAATTGCTATTGGAAGCTATCCATATAGTTTGTCGTAAATCTTAAATGTACTACCAACCTGGCTTATTATGGGGAATGCCTCTAGCACAATATGCATTGAGACATCTATTCCTCTATAATAATGGGAGGATCCAAGATTCACTTTTCATGCCACAGTAAATTCTACACTGAATTACTGTACCATTGTTACTGTAGTACAAACAGGAGGATCCAAGTAAAAACAGGAGGATCCAAGGTTGACTATCCATGCCACATAAAAGACTAGTATTTATCACTGTAGCTCGGCCGGAATACTGTACCATTTAAAATGTTACTGTAGCACATGCAAAAACTGTATTAAATACAGAATTAGTGTAGCGGAAATAAAAAAAAATGGAGGTCGTGCTTTGCACGCGGTGCACATTAGTTCAAGATATAAGAGCAAACTTTTTTACTCTGAATTTTGTTTCAGTTGTCCTATAAAGCAAACATTGAAAACAGAAGGTGAACAGGGGCATAATATTCAATAGGCTAAAACGGAAGGCAGGGAAGGGAATGCCACATAGGAACCGCTCAAAGCACGTCACTTCTTTCTTTGAGTTTCGATACTTCATAACCTGACCATTGGGTTGAAGAAGCAGAAGAACGAACCGCTATTTGCTTTCTTTTTATTTTTCTTCTTAAGGTGCTCTTGCATGAAATAATGGTTCAAGAGGGAGAATAATCGCGTAGGAGTCGACAATGAGATTGAGCATTTGATCCTTAATGAGCACTTTCCCTCATTCTCATGTTGTATGAGCCAGTTATCTGTGGTTTGGACTGCACACGTCTCATAATGTCTAATTTTCTTTTTCTCTCAGTTCTTGTCGTATTTAAGCAAGACCCTCTCCTTTACAGAAAATATTCCTCGATAAACCAAGGTCAGTAGATAGGTTGTATCAATGTCATGCGACATGGAATCAGAAACCTCAGCACCATGCTAAAGTGTTCTTCAGTTGTGCTAGTTTTGACTTATTTGGATGTCTTATCATTTGGTATTTGTATACATCATCCCACTTTGAAGTCTTTCTTATATATATATGATTGAGCATTTTTTATGTGTTTACATCGGCTCCCATCAATCTTCTGTAATTGTCAAGAGATTTGGTTGAATTTGACTGATAGAGACTTGTCCTGATTCAAGTATCTAGACTTCTGGCTATGCAAGGAACGAGCCAGTGTTCCTTTCTTCATCATTCATCCTTATAGTTTATAATATGTAAAGGATGATTGGCACATGCTCTGCAGTTGCATGACTAAAACATGAACTAGTAGGAAGGTACACCACCTTCTTGGTAAGTGGTCTTCTATCATCATACAGCCGTATTTACCTTCAAAATCTACATTCCCTATGAAGTAACAATTGATGAGCTGAGAAATCTGCTCATATCGTATTTAACTTTCTTCAGTGGCTCTTAAGATTGTCTTGCTTTCTCTTTATTCCTCTTTTTCCCTGATGTATCAAATGATGACAAGGTTTTTTTTGAAAAGATTGATGACAAGGTTTTAAATATCGGTTATCAGGGATTTATCGGACAGACAAAATCCACATCGAATAGCAGATATCGAGTATATATCGGGGATAAGTAGTGTTTATCGAAGTGATATTACCGGATAGTAATATACATAATATAATATTTTAGAATGTAATCTAACCAAACTTAATGAAATATAAACATACCAAAATGTAAATAATTACGTTTAGGATTACTAACCAATAGTAGAAACTCGGGTCGGTCGGGTTTAAAGTGCATTAAATAGGTGACTGTTGCCCGAAATTAAAAGTCAAGCTAAAGGCCGATAATCCCGATCTTTAGGCCGACAATATTGGCTGATAACTCACTTTATCGCCGCATTATCGCCTATAAACATCCACAAACGATAACCGATTTAGAATCGAACTTATCATAGCGAAAACCCCCCAAAACTGATAAATCGCTAATAATATTGTTTTATTGGCCGATATTTAAAACATTTATTGATGAGCAAATAAAGTTTTTTTTAACTTGAGAATGAACTAGTGTTGCCTTTAGCATGTTGATGGAGAGACATAACATAGTGCTATCTAAACAATCCTCATTGATCTTTGAATGCCAAACACTTGCACCCACAAACCAATTTGTAGGGGTATTTTTTAGAAAGTGTTGTGAAATACTCCCAAGTTTTGGAGTTTTTAACTAAAATTTCAAGTTTTATAATGTTTTTGTACCAATGTTTTAAATGTCAGTTGCGATGTCGGACATGGCGGCCAACATGTTGGATCCAGAGCCAAACAGCCACGATATGACACAATTTATAGTGTATTGCATTTTTGGGCATAAATTGGGGACATATCGGCTAAAATCGCATATTGTAGGAACAATTTTGGGTTCAAATTGCGTACGATTTTAGAGTTATTTGTTTGGAATTATTAGCTTGCTTTTTTCAAATGTTTGCAAACTTGACCCGACCTGAAAACCAACTTAAAACACTATACCCTCTTCTCTAATATCCAATTAGGGCTCCTTTGCCCAAATCCGTCTCTTCAACTCATGCTTCTCCTTCAATGCCTTTTCTTTGACCCAGTGTCTCCTTTGGCATTCCTCCAATGATCCTCCAGTGCTTCTTCATAAGTTTTCTCTTTCTCTATTCTTTCTCCGTCCTCTCGTGCTCACTCGCTTAGGCTATTTCTCAAGCTCTTTATCTCTCTATTTCAGGAGAAATTAGGACTTCCACTGTTGGAAGGAGACTAGGACTTCCACTGCACAACACAATTACTCTCTTTTTCTCTTCCACTCACTCTCACTCTCTCTCTCTCTTATTCATCCCTCTTTCTCTGTCTGTCTCTCTCTCCCAGAGTCATCCCTCTCTTTCTCAGTCATCCCTCTCTCTCAGCCATCCCTTTCGGCTCTTAGTCATTCCTCTCTCTCTCTTTCAGTCATCCTCCTCTCTCTCAGTCATGCTTCTCTTTCTCTCGGTCATTCCTCCCTCCCTCTCTCTCTCTCTTAGTCACTCTCCCTCATTCTCTTGGTCTCCCTCTTTATTTCTCAGTCTCTCTCACAGTCAACCCTCTCTCAGTCATCCCTCTCTTCAGTCTCTGCCTCTTTAGGACAATCTATTTTTACATATTTTGGTGTTGCGCAATGTAAACAGTTGGTTAGTTTGATAGTTCTAATTTTTCACAAAGTAAATTAACAATTTTCATCTATATTGATTTGTTTCAAGATGCAATCAAGGAACAAGTTTCTACAATCGATTAGTGATCCTAAACATTATATGTTATTTACTTTTTTGTATGTTTAAACTATAGAAGTATTTCTTAGATTGTATATTGGAGATTATATTACACATATACACTACATCTGATATGGCAATCCGATATTTATTACATATCCCTGACGTGTCCCCGATTTTCGCTATCGGAGATGGATTTTAGTCATCTGACATGAACCTGACATCCGACATTTAAAATCTTGTCTTGTACAAATCACTTCAAAACACATAGGGATCTTTCCGAATTTAACTTTAAATGGATTTGATTTCTCAGCACAGTTAAACCAGTGGAGAAACTACTACCTTAATCACTTCCCAGCTATTTGTTCACTAGATCATTGCCGAAAATGGAATAAATACAATATGTAGGGCAAATGAATCATACTGTCCAAATCATAATAAGTTATTAATACAACAAAGTAGGAAGGAGAAAAACTATCATTTGAGGTTATATACAAATAAAATGAAAAAAAAATCCATTTCTAAATGGGTTTTCCTAAGAAACCACCTTTAAAATAGGGTCATTCTACGTAAACCACCATTGATTGTCTATTCATACACAAACTATCTTTAAACCGTTTTTTATAATAATCAGTCCATGGACTCACTTTTCAATCAAGTTTTTTTTAATATAGTGATTAGTTGTCAAAAACTAAATATATTAGAGGGATGATCTATGACATAGGTTAGGTTAAGATCAATTAACCAAAAAAATCAACTAAAAAGTGGTCTCAAATGGTTGATTGAAACAAAACTCCTATAAAGATATTTATGTATAACTAAATATCAAAGATAGGGGAAAAAACTCTTTCTAAAATGCAAAGTTGGTCATAGCAGAGGTGAGTAGGTGAAAATACAACAATAATACTAATTCTTTACCAAGGTTTTAAATGTCGGCCGACATGTCCGACATGTCGGCCGACATGTCCGACATGTCGACCGACATGTCCGACATGTCGGCCGACCGACACGACATGGACGTTTTCAACTCGTATGTCGGTTTTCAGGGCCAAATTGGAAATATTAGGGTCATATCGGGCATATCGGCCTATTTTTTAGCTTTGAAAAATCGGCCGATATGATACTTTTTTTAAAGGTCTGTTTTTTGCATATCGGCCTATTTTTTAGCTTTGAAAAATCGGCCGATATGATACTTTTTTTAAAGGTCTGTTTTTTATTATCGGGTTTGGGTTTAGTGATAAATACCCAAAATCGTTTGACCCGTTCTCATGTTTAAGAATTTCTTATGAACCCGATAGAAAGAATTTATGAACGCAAATCCATATATTATTTACTTTTTTATATGTTTAGTCTATAGAATTTATAAAGTATGCTTATATTGAATTTATGAATGCTTAGATTACATTTAGGACATTATATTATACATATGCGCCTACCCGATATGGCAATCCGATATTTAGTCAATGTCTCTCGATATATCCCCGATTTCCGCTATCCGACATGAATTTCAGCCATCCGACATGAACCCGACATCCGACATTTAAAACATTGCCAAGGATTATGGTAAAGGAGATGGAAATAGATAATTTTAAAACAATAAATTTCTTCAGGGAAGAGAAAATGAAAGCTTGGAGAACAATGGAGAAACCCTCGAGTAGCCATTGCATCTATCTTCCCATAGCTGAAGCCAAGAAAACCATAAATAAGTTGGTAAATATTTTCGTCAAAATCTCAGAGGTCGGATTCCCTAGGAAATCCAAAGGAACAGGTTCCTTTTCTCGCACTTTATCCTTTTCACTTTTATTTTTTGGAATTTTGCTTTTGTGTATAGTTTTTAGATTCAATTTCATCTGGATTGGCTCTTATGCTAGTGAACTAGGTGATTTTGGGGTTGCGGTTTCAATTTTATGAGTTAGGTCTTTTGGAGGTTTGAAGATTAGGGAAATTCGAGATTGAATCCCTTGATTTTTCCATCAAAAGCCCTTTTATTTTTATATTTTAGGAGTGAGTGTTTTTGCTCGTTTGAAGATTGGGTAAATTTTTCTATCAAAACCCTTATATTTTATATCTCATGGCCGTTCCAAGGTTGAGTTAATGCTTCTCACTTGATACATTGTGAAATTGTCATATTGACCGAATCGGGAGCTAATCATGGGTTTGTAAGAGATATGAGTTCCCTTCCTCTAACCCCTAGCTTTTAAGAGTGAGCTATTTACAATTTGACTACAAGCTAACTTTCCTTGTCAAAATTTAAAAATAAAACAAGTTTAAGATAATCCATGCGGGCTAGGAGTTAACCTCTTAACATGATGGGTCTATTTATCAAGGACTAAGCAATAACCCCGTTATTATTTATAAAGAAAAGGATGACAATTCCTCGTCTTTTAAAACTGTAAAGTCAAAAAATAACAAATGGGCAGTTAATAGTGGACTATGTTGCATGAGTATTTCTATTTGGAGGCGTACCCATATCGTACTCATTCACTATACAAACTTTAGTGGACACTCCTTGGATATTTGCATACACTTATTCAAATTTGTACTAATCATAAAATACACGTTTTAAATTTAAAACACTCGTCGTATACTTCTTGGATGTATATCCTACACTTTACATGCAATCCTTGGAACTCTTCATACGTAATTTGGGTTTTTTCAGCCTCCCTAGTTTAAAGCTATGATTATAAGGAGTCTTTGAATATCAAGTTAAAAGGCGAGCAATTTTCTAAATTATCGATTTATATTATAAAAGAATCATATGATGTTATAGGAGTTTTATTTCATAGTTCGTGAAATAAAAAAAATAATGTTGATCTCATGTAAATTATTATTATATATACATGTATGTGTAGGCAGATCCTCTTATTCTACCTTTTAGGCTTTTACATATTTGTCATGTCCCATACTTGAACCCTGTATTTGTATAACTTAGATTTTGGGTCATAAAAGATCTGGGTTCCTTGTAGCTAGCTTCTAGGAGTGAGTTTTCCTATGTTTGTTACAGTTTGGCAATGATTAAGCGGGGTTAAGGAGAGTTAAAAACTTTATTATATCACCAAACACAAATGACAACTTTTAACATAATCCATTTACATGGGCTAGGACGACTTAACCTCTTTACATGAG